CTATTGTATAATCGACAAAAAATATTTTTGTCAATTATACTTATTTTCAATGCAAGTTTATTCGACAATTTTTTCTATAATTATGTCTATTGATTATAGGTATAATCGACAGAATTTATTATATAATCGACAAAAAATTCTGCTGTTTTCTAGAAGTGCAAGAAGTAAGGTTCTTCTCCTTCTAGTTGGCCGGTGCTCGAGTCTTGGCACTTGCAAGTCAAGTCTTACACGGTTACACCACTCTCAAGCAAAACAACATTGTTAAGGAAATGACTGTGCGTGGCCAATAAAGATTAAAGAAGGAAATGCCTATGCCACTTCCCATACGCGCCATTCCCATTAATTTGTTTTCGTCCCGATCTAAATCAACAATCAAACTTTCCCCCTCTTGACCTCTTCTATACGGATCTCGTACCATAACGGGTATAGATGCCTCCTCCCCTCTAAACTCGTTCTTCATTTCCAAAAAATCAGCTCCCACTTAGTTATATTCCCAATTCTCCAAAAATTCCATCCATGGCAGTAGAAACGGCGACACTACACCACATGGCGTTGACGACTGCAGCAGCCCCAAAACCCAAATTCATCTGCTTCTCTTTAGCCGCCTATGCCAAGAAATTCATCGCCTACCTCAGGTCTCTCGATATTCCGATCCTACCGGGCCTCACCGACCAAGAATTCGCCTCCATTGAATCCACTTTCCACTTCATTTTCCCTCCCGACCTCCGCTCCATCCTCCAGGAAGGCCTCCCCACTGGCCCCTCCTTTCCCAACTGGCGTTCTTCGTCTCTCCAGCAGCTCCAGATTATTCTTAACCTACCCTTTTTGTCCCTCTCCAAGAACTTCTCTCTCCGGGAATTCTGGTCCGATTCGTGGGGTCCAAAACCGGGGAGCACTATGGATGCTTTGTCTTTGGTCAAACAATTGTCTCAAAAGGCACCTGTTCTCGTCCCCATTTGCAGAAATTGCTATATCCCTTCCTCGCCGAATTTGGCGGGAAACCCAGTTTTTTATATAGACGGTGAGGATGTTAGGATCTTGAGTTATGATGTTACGAGCTTTTTTCAAGAGGTAGAGTTCATACAAGTCGGCTGCGTTTTGAAGCCGTTTTTGAGGAAAAACTGTAACGTGAATCGGCCGGCATGGGCAGCAACCACCGCGAGAAGGATTGAGTTCTGGACAGAGGTGGTGGAGCGGAGGAGGAGGGCGGGAAGTTGGTGGATGGATGGCGGGCACTTCAAATTAGGGTGTTGTTTGGAGGCGGCGTTTTGGAGATTGAAGAACGGAGGGTGGACGGAGGAGGAGGTTAGGGAGATGATGATGATGGACGGCGGTGATGATCCAAAATTCGGGGCCGACTCGGTCCGCGACGAACGGGGGGTGTTGTGGCACGTAAGGGTTTTGCCTCTGGTGTTATTGCGTGCTGGATGGACCAGGGAAGACGTGGCGTACTCGCTCGACCTTCAAGATGATGATAAGAATAATAGAGACATTGTGCTGTGAATCATCGCACAAGGCTGTTGCATCGATTATGATCATGATATGATCTTTGGTTGATGCATGGGCAGTATTTTAATGTGTAAAACAACTTCACATATAATAATTTTCTCCTTTCTAGTTCGAGAATTGACAATTGAGACACCTAACTCTAGAACAATGTTTTGAGCTGATTAAATGCTTATGTATTAATTAAGACTTGAATTCATTAGTAAGTAAGTGTAATCAGTAGCGGAGTTATAAAATTTTTTGAAGGGGGTAAAGTAAAAACTTTATCAAGAAAATGATGCATTTGTGTGTCTATTGAAAGTCTATATGGTGAAAATTTTAAAATAAATTGTTTTAAATAACGTACTAGTTTTTAACAATAAATTTAAAAAGTGGTTGATGACATATAGGTTATTGATTTAAGGACAAAAATAAACATCTATTGAGTAGAAAAATATTAATGAGCAAGAGAAGGAAATTATAAGACTATCAATGGCAAAAAGGGTATTTAAACCTATATACTTTTTGATATACTTGAAATCAACCCTCCAACTAGGGTTTTTTCCTTTGTGAAATCCATTTTCAACTTTAAAATGTCAGTTTCTAAATTCTCATTCACAATCTGTTTCTATTCGATCGAAGGTGTTCTTCAAGAGTCATTGCTTCCATTGCATCAACTTAGGGCATTTGCAATGCAACAAAGCTGTCTTGCAAATTGATGTTGGGCTTGAACTTGTAAACAAGGAGCATACAACGGTGCTTTTTGTCAAAGGAGAATCCAAGCACAGAGAATATGAGAGGGAGGAGTCGAGCTTGGAGGCGAATAGGAGCTCATTTTGAAACTCTCACTCTCATTGAAGAGAACCAAAGTCCATAACTTTAACGGCAACATTTTGGTTGTTGTTTTGGAGAGTAGCGCGGAAAACAGAATCAAACATACCATGGTCGAGAGAACAAGATGGAGAGAACGAGTTGGGGCATGGTAGAGCATTGCATAAGAGTATTGATGAGGTGGCTTATAGTTTGTAGGGGCAGTCTATTCGTGGTAGATTTTCTGGAGGTAGAGGGAGAGAACCAAGAGAATTGAGAAGGTGGCAATGGCAGTAGCGAGTAGGGGGAGAATGTGTTGGTAGAAAATCCAACCCCATGTGAACACATGGACTTTCCATGTGAACACATGGACTTTCCATGTGGTAAAATTTCTTCACCAATCTAGCTAGTTGTGGGCTAGCATTTGCTTTGTTGAAATCATGCAAAATTGCATGTTGACCTATTTAATGAGCAAAGAAAATCATGGATGGGTGGTAATGAGGCAAAGAAAAACTTGCTTGGGTGGTTGGGATTTTTCACTATAAATACCCATGCATGCAAAGGCAATGGACAAGCAAGAGTGAGAGCACACAAGAGAAATTGAGAGCAAGAGGGAGGGTAGACATTGAAGCTCAAAATGGTGGAAGAATGTTTGTAAAATAGATGAGGGTTTGGGAATAAAGAAGAATTCGTTGAGTTTGAGATTTGCTGTGGAATTGGGAAATGGTGGAAAGGTGAAATTTTAGACAGAGGTGTGGGTAGGAGGGAGAGAATTATCTAACATATTTTCTCACTTATTCATGTTAACTATAGATCAAAATTATAGCGTCAAAGATATGTGATTCTGGATTAATGGCTGCTAGCAATGGAAGTTATCATGGAAGCGTGAACTTCGATCATGGGAAAAGGAATAAGAAAGAGAGCTATTAGAGGTGCTGAAGACGAACTCTCCAATACAGAACAAAGAAGATCAATGGCGATGGCAACAAGAAATCTCAAGAAAATGCACAACCATGTCAGCTTATTCATGGCTCCTAAAGGGAGAGTCAAGACTAACACTTGATTTTAAAGGGTTGTGGAAAGCCTCTGTCCCATCTAAAGTAAGTGCATTTTGTTGGCAATTGCTTCATGATAAAATTCCTACAAAAGATAATCTTGCAACTTGTGGGATTTTGACTGCAAACTTGAATTTAAACTGTTGTTGGTGCAATTTATCACTAGAGACACAGGATCACATGTTCATTAACTGCAATTTGTCTTTTACATTATGAATGAAATGCTATAAGTGGTGGGGCATGAAATATGTTCTGGGTAATTCATGTATTAGGGTTTTTAATCAGCATAAGTGGATTGGGGGCTCAAAATTACTGAATAAAGGGTGGAAAATCATCTGCTTTGCAGTATTATGGACATTATGGTTGGGAAGGAATGACCAAACTTTTCAATTGAAGGTTGCAAATGTTAATAGATTTTTTGAGCTGGTTCAAATTCATTCTTTTTACTGGGCAAGGAATATAGCAAGAATGGTTGGATTCCCCTTCTTAGCCTGGTGTGAAATCCAGCCACTTGTTTTAGGTTCAATTCCAACTTGAGAGGTCAACATGGGATTGGAATTACAGATTGAAGGATTGTTGACATCCCCTTTTGGAAAGCAAACTGATTTTGTGTAACAAGTAGTTAGTTGCATGTTATGGGTAGGAGTATCCCTTGTACTCCATATATAAATAAATCCTTAATTTTTTGCCTTTCAAAAAAAGAAATTGAGAAGAGCTAAGTGAGTGAGGGCTCTTGTGAGAGAAAAGAAAAAGAGAAATTGTGAGATAATCCTTGTGAAGATTAAGAAAGAGTATTAGGGAGAATTTGATAGTTTCTATATATTGAAGTTAGAGTGTTGAGAGCTTTTTGAGTGAGAAAGTTTCTAAATTATTGTACTCCTTTTCTTAATTAATAGTGGATTTGTTTTTCTCTTTCCCATGGATGTAGACTTGTTGATGTAGACTTGTTGATGTAGACTTGTTGAGAGGTATACAAGTTAAACCACATTAAATTATTGTTTTAATTTCTTTATCGTTTCCGATTGCGTGGGATTATGGTGCTCAAACTGTTGTTCCTCAAACACTCTCCTCCATCTCCTCATCATGTCATTGTTGTACCTTGATCACAAGATCAAATAAAATAATAATTAATAAACTTATCTAAAAATGTTGATAAGAAAATATTATCGAAATAGGCATGAAAAACTTACTTACTATAAGGCGATTCACGCCTCTGCGAAGAGTAGATCAACCGGTGCAACAGAGATATACATAGCATGTCGCCTCCAAGATGCTGCAGCCTTATAATAACACTCTATGGATCTACACTACTTATAGAGTCACCTTACTCAAAAACATTCTTCCTTAATTTACCCAAGAATATTTAGAAGATAAAGTAAAGTAAGAAAACTAGGAGAATGTGGAGGAACTTATATGTTCAGCAAGAAAACATGTCCTATTTATAGGACTCATGGTTTTGTAACTCCCATTTATAGGTTAATGATAGGAATAAATTGGGTAATTATTATGAAATAATGTGTCATTAAATAGGACAATTAACCTATAACGGCTAATTTATCCAAGTCCTTAATGGGATAATAAATTTAATTTATTTTTTATCAAAATATTTAAGTTTCAACACAAACTTCCCAATAGAATAATCCATGTGGGGGCTTGGCACTGGTGATGGTGAACCACCACTGGTGATGGGAGTGGAGGCGGAGGTACCGGTGGGAAATCACATGGCATAGCGTGATGGGTCAGCAAAAGTGGAAGAGGGTAAGATTGTAAATCTAACCTAAAAACGTTGAATTAGTAAATCTTGATAGCGGTGGTTCATGGCTGGGCACCGCTAGTGGGGTAGTTGTGCTCATGGGTATGCAGACGTGTGAGAAAGATGGAAGCTTTTTAGATCGGCATCGCTATAATTTGTACTTCTAAGAAAGAAACCAGAGATGATTAGAAGTGAAAAGAATAAAAATGATTGAAGCACATGAATCTCAGTTTCTTCTTCTCATTCATGATCTGTTAATGTTCGATCGATGGTGTTTAGAAACTGAAAATTTAAAGTTGAAAATAGATTTCACAAAAGAGAAAACTCTAGATAACCAATTTTAGGCTAATAAATTCAGTTATTTTTGGGAAAATTATTTAGTTCAGGTCACAATTAAAAGGTCATATCAGCAAAAAAATAATCTACGTCATGTTAGTAAATATCATGTAACTAAATTGAGTTTCACATGTATCAAGTCAATAATATATTAAAGTCAAAAAATTTATGGATTGATTTATTTCAATATAAAAATCTCAAGATTTAAATATTTCAAAAAAAATTGGAGCGTTGATTTAAGTATATCAAAAAGCACATAAATTTGTTTTGCTAAGTTTACATGTTAAGGTTAATATTTAAGAAAATTAATTTATTAAAAACACGAGACAGTGATGGAATCATTGAGAGGAAGGATTATAAATAGTAATTAGAATACTAACTTTCTTCAATTTAATAAATAAAGACACAAACTTTAGTTACTCTTAACTAAGAATATCAATTCTTTTTTTCTTTTTTTTTTTTCATGTTCATTAGTGGATTTCAATATTCAATTATATTATTTACTTAAGAAAACTTCATTAATTACCCTATACACTTAGTGTAAGTGATCATTTTAGAATATTCAAAAATTAAATTTCTAAAATACACTATCTTTCTGTCGTTCCCTTACATCTATCTACATTGTCCACCTATCATAGCCATTGGTAGCAGACAATAAAGAATTTGCCAACAAATGCAAAGAAATTCAAGTGGAGCACAAATAATCGACCACTAAGAAATTAAATTACATTAACACAACTAATCTTAATAAGATAGACATAATTTTAGATTTAAAAAAGTAGTTTTGCATATTGTTTGAGAAATAATGCTCTCTATGAAAATCCTCAAGTATAAATTAAACAATAATAAATCCATATATACTTCAAATAATTATACTTTAAAATTGAGTTCATAATCCTCTTTAAATTAAATCTTTTAAAATATTTCATTGTCTAACATGTGATTATTGAAGAACCTATGAGTTTCTTTAACATTACGTTAAAGAACAAATAAATTCTTTGAAGACTCACTACCAATAATAAAAAGATCACAGGTAAGACAATTAGATAGGTAAGATGCATGGAGGCCGATAGAGTGAGAAAACATAGAAAATAATTACCATTATTTACCAATTATTTTTATTTATATTATTGATAATTGATTTTTATTTTCGTCCAATTATTATTAAGTTCTACCTTATATAAAATGTCAGTTTTGCCACTAACATCAGAGGACATAAGTATACTGTTGTTTCAAGTGAAAAGAATTTGGTTATCTTTAAATAAAAT